GTTGTGAACTGAATGATAAACTCACCTGAAACACAATTCCAATAAATGCACAAAACCATCTCTGGCTGAGTATCATTTCTAACCCCCAAGAGATGCTTTTGCAAAGGACTCGTCATCATTTAAATTTCTCTGATCATGCAATGCAGCATGCTTAGGTTCAACTATTTCCTGGATCCTTTTGCTATTGCTCAATCACTTTGTCAATTGAAACTCTCCTTCACTTAAAATTCTGTTCGACTTTTCATGCAATGTCAAAGCCTTATCCTCTGACCAATCCCATGTCACTAACTTATCTACATAAAAATCGTCCTTTATCTTCCTAACACATTCTTCCTCTACATTCATATAACTATCTAAATGATACTGCACATGCAGTGTAGCATTTATCCTGCAATGTAGCATTTATCAGAAATGGAGAACTGTTAACCCAAAATACCACCCTTCAAAGGGAGGCAGACACTTTTTATTTTTAATATTGACAGGACAACTTAAAACATATGATATGTCAAATGTGTATGTGTTAAATAAATCAACTGATTTGCATTACTAACAACCGGTGTCTCATATTACATCACAAAGGTTTTTGCGTGGATTATATTTCGCACATTACTAAAATTCGCGCAACCCAGCGCTGCGCGAATTCTAGTACTGCGTAAGTTTTAATACAAGTATATGAAATTGTAGCAACAGGTTCTGTTATGCAAGTTTTTAATGATTTGCATTATTCAAATAGATGCGGTTTATTAGCATGGCATGACCAGTTGTCATGGCTGGCTTGCCACTGAATACTGTACAATGTCATATTGTCATATATTTCTCAAATTCATTAATAATTCATGAGTAATCAGCCAATGATAATCACCTATTTGTTCACAAGATGCCATTTGGATACTTGATGAAAGTCACTAGTGTTTTCATCAAATATCTTAATTACGCATGCAAAATTACTTGAATAGAATTCCTAATTACGTTATGCTTGGTTAAGAATTCTATTCAAATCAGCAAACGAAAACATTCTGTTACGTCTCGATTCATTTGAGAAGCCATATAAACAACTCGAGTGCGTGTCTCACCGGGAAATCCAAACACTCGAAAACAATGTATGAAAACACTCGCGCTTCGCGCTCGTGTTCTCATACATTGTTTTCTCGCGTTTGGATATCCCGGTGAAACACTCGCTCTCGTTGTTCATATATTACATCAACAATGATAATACTTGAATGGATCGTTGGACATGTAGAGTTTAGTTTAATAATGGCTAGCTTCACGATTAAAAGTACAGTTATACATACAAAAGCGAGAAGTTATAAGCATTCAAGGGATTCATATAAAAAAACCCCATGCCAAGAAAATAGAATTAGAATATTTAGCTGACATTCGACTTTGTGCGAAGTGTTGACATTCAAATTGCACTTTCGGTCTTTTTCTGCATCTTGAACAGGCGTATTACCAATCTCGTAGCCAGAGTACGTATGCCCGTTCGCAAGTTAAGTCATGCCCCGCACCTAACCTGTGAACGGGCATACTCTGTGCTGTTTACATGATTGAAGGTGGAATGATTTTGATGTATTGAAATAAGTCACTAAGCTAAAGTTCAAATGCTGGTTAACCGAACTCAAATGTTGTAGAGAAGATCATGTAGTTTAAGAAGATTTTTATAGCTTTTTGAACAACCTTTCGTTTACAGTTAACTATAATCCATCTCTAGAAAATAAAGTTTTTCACGAAATTATTGCGCCTTATATCTTGTTCTGGCAAAGCGGTTTAAGCGGGATACGTATAAACAGCCCTTATTCAGCAAATTGCGTATGCTCCCTTGCCTTTGGTCCCTTGGGGGCGAGGCAACACTTTCCTTGCGATAGTAACTTCTAGTTATAAACTTCCAATATATCCATAACTACTTTTGGCATGCTCTTAGCTGGACTGCGAAAGTGCTGGGTAGGCTTTAGACTTCCCATTCCAATATTTTTTTACGACAATGGCAATGTGTGTCTATAAAGTTTTTGTGGTTTGTTTGGGAGGGAGTATCTATTTGGAGCGTGTAGCGGGTAAAAAGAGCGGGTTGCGGGTAAAAGGAGTGGGTAATTAAAAAGGAGCGGGTAATTTCTCCAGGAGCTAAGTGCCAGTGGGGATTTTTAACGTGCTGAAAATACGTACACACTAGCGCAACGTTTTTGGGTCACCAAACGAACAAAAATAACGGTGGACAGTCAGTGATGCGCGAAGACTAATTTTGTACTATGCAATCATACCATGCAATCATACCATTTCTTCATACTATGCAATCACTCTGCAATCATGCACAGTATACGAAATAGGTCCCTTTTGATGTTCTCTTCCCCACAGACGAATTATTAGCCCAGTGTTCAGTTAAAATAAAATCATTGCGCAAACGATTGAGTAATTCTTATATTTAAGTACTAGATAAAACATGAGCAGCCGATCTGTATCTGATATACAAACTCGAGCCGAAGGCGAGAGTTTGTATATCAGATGCAGATCGGATGCGAATTACTTAAAAATGGCCCATCTTATGAGTTCATTGGCGAGGTAACTTTAAAAATAAACATTGTCTAAACCGAGAAAATCAAAGCTCAAGTTTATTTAAGGTGGCTCGATACAGTTTTCAAAAATTCAGGTGTTCAACACTTTGAAATGTTTAAACTATGCATTTTTAGAATATATTCAGCAGATATTGTTTTTTTTATATATTTCGATATCTCTACTTTCAAATTATATTAGTTTTAGTAACAGATAGTTCGTTGCTATGACGACATACGTGTACAAAATACACTCCAAAATGGCCTTTCGTCTCGTATAGTTGGAAAAGAAGCATGGTGACCCCCAATTTTTTTTCTTGCATTATTGTACTTGGACGAAAAGCTAACAATTAGCAAAATATAAAAAAATTCTGTAATGCCATTTTTTTGGAAAATGCGAAAATGTCATATTCTTCGGTAAAATTTTTTTGGCATTACAGAATTTTTTTATTTTTTGTATAATGAAAGTTTTTAGCGGTGCAATACAGCATGCAAAATTTGAACATAGGTCACCAAACAAAATAAAGAGATATAGCGCATTGTTTTTCTAAAATGGAAAATTCTAATGACGTCAGCAATTGACATAAAACGCTATATAGAACACGCGAAATGACGTGAGATGGCGCGAGCAGCTTCTTACGTCAGGTCATTTTGGAAGTTCTGTCATTTTGTTAATCAGTTTCCGCGACCTGCGCGTAAGTCAGGCGAGGTATGTTCTATGTTTTGAGTTCGCGATTTTTGAGCAGGGTTTTCGTGATAACTATATCGAGCCACCTTAAATCAGGACAAATCTTTATCCGATTTACAAAAATTGATTAAACATAATTTATTTCTTTTGTATTTTCCTCGTGAATTATTAATGATTTTTTTAAATGTAATTTTTATAAAAGTTAAATACAACTCTAATTATATTTCGCTAGTTTAATAACGACTTTTGAAAACCCTGCTCCAGTTCCGTCGTTCTGAACATGAACAATATGTACTGGTTGAAACATATATGAGCAGCTGATCTTTATCTGATATACAAACTCGAGCCGAAGGCGAGAGTTTCAGGGCCGTCCTCAGGAAATTCTTCAGGGGGGTGTAAGGTCGTTTCAACCGACTGACGAACGAGGGTGTACCAACCACATGCTAGCCATTGAAGCTTGTAAAATTTCCGATGGAGATCAACTAAATTCAGGGACCGCGCAGCCATTTTTGGATTAAGGGGGCTATAGCGAACGTCGAAAACTTGAGTTATTAGGGGGTCCCGCGGGAAATTTTGAAATCTGACACCTCCCAGAGCCCCTAAAATGCAATCAAATTTACTAGTTGTTGTTAAAAAGTGTCTTTAATAGACGACTCTTAATCTAATATACTTGGCTATGTGAGTTATAAATATATTGTTAACTGATCTGAAAGATTTCAGTATTCTTAGTTTATAAACATTACATACGTATGAAAAATAATTGGGGGCCTCCTCCATGTTCCGTGGTCCCTGAAATTACGCCCGTTGTGTTCTAAATTGAAGTCTGTTCTAAATCGCCATTTTTGATAATCGAGTTTTTGGCGGGAAATGGGAATACATTGTGTTCAGCGGTTCTACTTATCAAACATGCTACATATACTTCATTTAAGATATTTTGTATATATCGCTATATGGTTTAATTTAACTGTGAATCTGGGCTTGTTTTACTAACGGATTATAATGATTATATTCTGCTGAATAAATTTCGAGTAACCCAAATTTCCGTCTCTTATATAACAGGTGAAAATTATATCGGTAGTAGTTTTATACGTCAAAAACATTTTTGTTTGCCGACTAGAATAGCAGTCCTGCAAACTGAAGCTTCAAATAAAATTTCTGGGGGTGTCACCCCCCCCCCCCTAGCTCCGGCCCTGGAGAGTTTGTATATCAGATAAAGATCGGATGCAAATGTTTTAACGTGCTTAAAAAATTACCCATCGCATGAGTTCATTGGCGAAGTAATTTTAAAAATAAACATTGTCTAAGCTGAGAAAATCAAAGATGAAGTTTATGTAAATCAGGACAAATCTTTATCCGATTTACAAACATTGATCAACTTAAACATTCATTCTTTTGCATTTTCCTCATGAATTATTAATAAATATAAGTAACAAATGTTATTTCGTGTGTTATTAAAACCATGTTGTGACATGATGCATTTTAATCTGTTATTTTTTTATTTAGAAAAACGAAAACTGCGGGGAGCTGGTACTTTTGAAAAATAATTTGAGCAAATTTAAAAACACCAAGGGTGGAGGGATTTAGCTGTGAACGTTATATTTAGAAGAAAGGGATAGGTCGTGACATATTTGTTTGATCCAAAATACAGTTACCTTATCAGGGAAGCAGAAGAATGTGATCGAGTGAAACTGGATTGGTGAAGCACTCGCTCAATAAACTAATGACCTCACCACATTGAACTTGCATTTAAACATTATTTTAAGGCTTAAAATATGGAAAGTAACAAAGAACAACAACAAAACGCAAAAGCATATTTTATATTAGGGCGTACCTATCGATCAGAGAATCAATTTGAAAGCGCAATTGAATACTTTAAAAAAGCCTGGGAAATTTCAAAAGAACTTGGAGATAAAGAAGAAGAAATAAATGTACTATATGAGTTACATGTCGTTTGTGTATTGAACGAACAGTTTCAAACAGCAATTGAATATGGTAAGAATGCTTTAGACATTGCAAGGGAGCAAGGGTATAAAGAATTGGAAGCAAAGACATTACGTGTGTTAGGATATGCTTATCAATTGGACAACCAGTTTCAAATGGCACTTGAATGTTTTGAGAAAACCGGGGAAATTGCAAAAGAATTTGGAAATAAAGAAAAAGAAATAATGGTACTATTTGATTTAGTGGCTACTTGTAAAGATAACAAGCAGATTTCAACAGTAATTGAATATTCTCAGCAAGCTTTAGATATTGCAAAGGAGCAAAAGCGTAAAGAACATGAAACAAGGGCATTAGTTGAGTTAGGAGATGCTTATAACATGCAAAATCAGTTTCAAACGGCAATTGGATATTTCGAGAAAGCCTTGAAAATTGCAAAGGAACAAGAGTACAAAAAACTGGAAGCAAAGGCATTACGTGGGTTAGGAAATGTTTATAATTTGAAATGTCAGTATCAAACGGCAATTGAATATTTTGAGAAATCTTTGAAAATTGCGAAAGAGCAAGAGGATAAGGATTTAGAAATAACAGCACTGAGTGACTTAGCGGACTCTTGTTTTCACGGCAAGCAGGTTCAAACAGCAATTGAATATACCAAGGAAATTGTAAAACTTGCAAAGCAGCTAGATAAAAAAGAAAAAGAAGCATTGGCATTGGTAGGGTTAGGATTAATTTATAAAATGCAAGATCAAATTCAAACGGCAATTGAATATCTGGAGAAAGGTTTGAAATTGGCAGAGGAGCTAGGGTATAAAGAGCTGGAAGTAAACGCATTAAATGGGTTAGGAGAAGCTTATAAATCCAAAAATGAGCTTCAAACGGCAATTGAATATATGGAGAAAGTTTTGAAAATTGCAAAGGAGCAAGAGTATACAGAACGTGAAAAAAATGTATTATTTCAGTTAGGAGTCACTTGTCGTATGAACCACGAGTTCCAAAGGGCTATTCAATACGTGCAGGAAGGCTTACAAATTGCACAAAGACAAGGACTTAAACTTGAAGAAAGTGCAGCAAGAGAGGAAATTGAATTATTGTCACTAATGATTGGTAAGAGTATAGCAAGTATATTCGCTTCTTTCAAAACGTACACTTTTTAAAAATGAAAGATTTTCTGATTTGGACATGAATTTTTGCGCACAATAATTATTTGTTGAAAAACAAGGAGTATCTGACTTGAATAAAACTAAGGAGTTCGCAGTTTTTTAAAATTTACTCTGAACAGCCATTGTTATAGCCTGCTCACAGACGTTGCAGATCTTACGCCAAGCGACGAAATACTACCGTCTGCTTACCCGAGCGCCAAACTGAATTCCGCTACGTCGACCAATCAGAATTTACCTTCCAAATTCTGGAAAGTGATGTCAGTTGATTTAGGAGCGGGATAAATATAAATATATATTTTGAAAGCAGTCGTCGGTTGAATTTTGGTCAAAATTGCACATAAATTGAATTTAAAGACATTGATACTTGTCCAGGTAACTGATAAAATGCACCATTAATAATCAGATTTGGATATTAAAGATGTTCGGTTATATTTAAAACGCGGACAGGATTTGAGGATTGGCATAATTACAGTGAAAATACAAAAGTGTCCCACTTCCGCTTCTGTAGTTTGTTGTGATTTACTGTAATTTGTTCTGTTTTTCTGTAGCGATTACCGATTTATCGGCAAATACTGCGATAAAATTTAAATTTCGTTCCTTTTATGCAATGAAACTAACGAAAAATGTATTATTTCCCTTTGCTGCAAATTATCATATTTAAAAATAGAAAAAACTAAGTTTTATCGCGGTATTTGCGGATAAATCGGTAATCGCTACAGAAAAACAGAACAAATTACAGTAAATCACAACAAACTACAGAAGCGGAAGTGGGACACTTTT